TGAGACTCCTTTGAGAACAGTGTTTTTGTAGCTACTCGACTGAGGTATAGTCAGTGTCCATCAGTTTTTCTACACTTGAGTATTTTATTTGCTTCTAGTTACTTTGGACGATTTTTGGGTTTTAAAAAAGAGCCTTTTTGGAGTTCCATGATTTTCTACATGATGGTTAGTTACCCTCTACTAACAGTGATTACTGATAATGGTACAGATATATTTTGTCCGTCAATTTTGGGACATTCTGGCTCTGTCGTGACATTTATAGCTATGAATGTGCTTTTAGTTGATACTCCAATTACCAGAAATTGCATTACTTGAAGGAATCAAGGAAATCAAGTTCTGATGTATCTTCCAGATATCTCAATCCATTTTTAGTTCAGCATTTTTATGTCAAACTTGGCGCGGTCACTTGTTTACATTTTCTCAGAACAATAATTTTCACAATGTGTACGATTTAGGGATACTGTTAATGGTACTAAAAAAAAATTGATTAGCAACAAAAAGCTACAAAAATCACGCGAAAACTGATATTTGATAGCGATCTTTTGAGCTATTAGCTGTAAGGGAAAGAGACTGAATATATTCGCTTATGATTAAAGATCCTTAAACCTTCGAGAACAATTTCAATCAGTCGACTTGTAAGATGAGAATTTTAGAAGACGGCTTAATTACGGGATAGTGAACGCTAACTCAGAAGAAAAAGTAACTAAGTGTGACAATCTAAAGAACATGGATATTCCAGAAGACGCGGAAACTTAGAGAGAAGGCAAGGAATAAAGATTTAAACAGCAAGCTCGTATTAAAGTAACTTTACTAATTGACCATTGTTGTTGGCTGAACATGCCAGCAATGAGGGGAGCATCTCCGCTCGTTGGGCTAGTTTCCCCCAAAACAGCGCTGTCAACCGTTGTCTCGCTTCTACCAAACTGTTACTACTAAAGTAAAGTTCCTCGATAGCAGTTTCAAGTAAAGCTGGGATAATTTATTCTGTCTAATATAAAATTCGCGAACCTTACTGGGGACTTTAAGAAAACCGTAAAGGCAACGGCAACGGGAATGTTGCTAAACAAAAGGTTTAATGAGCAGTACAATGGCTGTGCATGTGCGTTATGATTCTTGGTAGATTTCTTTGCCGTCCTCTGTAAAACAACAACGTGAAATGACCAAATTCTGCGTTGTCTGGAGAATGTGAACCTCGACGAATAATTTGTAAAATTTATATTTCGAATTTTATGCTGTTTTCCACATTCAGTTTCGAGATAGCTGTGACAGAGAGAAACAAACTAAATGACCTTAGAGTATGTACTATCGCGAGATTCGTAGGTAAAATGTAAATTCATTTT